ACTCTAATAAAACCTTGCTGAATGGCTAATCACTCTAATAAACCTTTGCTGATTGGCTAATCACTCTAATAAACCATTGCTGATTGGCTAATCACTCTAATAAACCATTGCTGATTGGCCAATCTCTCTAATAAACCTTTGCTAAATGGTCAATCTCTCTAAAACTACTGTTACTAACCATTCAAGACATTATTTCTGTCGCTCAGTACAAAGATCTGCAAGAAAAGCTTGAGAAAGAAAAATCAGGAAGAATTCAACTGCAAGTACAGGTGAACAAATTGGAAATTGAACTACAAACTGCTAAGAGAGAAAGTAAGTGATTATCCTTGTTTGATTACACCTCATGTGTAGAGATTGTCACGTTGATTGGTCAAAATGTCACATACAGTCAATAATGAAAATCCAGTGACCTCAATTTTGGCTTTGCCACAGTCAATAATTTCTTTGGGTCATTAAAGCTGACTAATGATCTCTACTACAGTAATTATTTGTTTATTGTAATATATAAATACTAAAATGTAACAAATCAACATGTTCAAGTACAAAACTGAAACACTAAAATCTGTTTTTAAGATGGCCACACAGCCCTGTCATGTAGTCCAAAACATGAATACGACTTCTGTGGCAAAATGCACTATGTGTCAGCACTAGCAAATTTGCACATACAAAAAGGGAGAGACAACAGTGACACTCAATATCCAGAACTGTCGCCTGGCACAAAAAAAATTTAAAAAAATAAAAATGCATATTCTTGATAACAACTTGTGAATTTGACACCAACTACAAACTGAAACTGCACTAATGCAAAGTTCAACTGAGAAGTACAAGGACTGGGGTGGAAGCCTTCATGGTAACATTGTCTCCATGTACCCCTCCGTTTGTGGGTTCATTCTATGCTTACTTGGAAAGCTGTGATGTTATACGTATCTTCACTTTGAACTGAATCTTACATTGCTGAATCACAATGAATCTGAGCTTTCCTTGTAACAAGAATGATCATCCTCTATTTTTTCCGCCACTGTTCAACCTGCGTACATGTGTAGTTTTAACAAACTCAGCATCTATTTTCAGCTCTATTGGCTAAAACCAGACATGGTGACATTTCACTCCAGACTCCATCCTCACAGGGTGTTGTATCCGCCATCATGTTATCACCGAGCCATCGGCCTAGTGCGAGTAGTTTACTCCTCGCTCCAGGCATGGCTAAGACGGAATCTAAAAAAGATGGTGCACTGAACGTACATCGTCCTAAAGAAAGAATGAAACACAATATACCACATCGGTTTGCGACTGAACTGAACATGCGAGCAACCAAGTGTGCAGTCTGTATGGATAGCATTCATTTCGGTCGGCAAGCATCAAAGTGCAATGGTACGTATTCTAGGTTGTTTTCATCAACCCAAAATACTGTAAAATCGATTTTATTTTCACAAGAGACAAATGTTTCAAGATTCAGGAATAAACAGTAGAATTTTGTACTATTGAATATTTCATGAAAATCATAACAGCGGTTTTTACAGTATCATTTTTGAACAATAATTTGAGATCGCAAACAACAATTTGATTGTAAATCAGGAAAATTGATGAAAAACTGTAACAATTGAAATGTATCAAATTTCACATTATATTCTTGCCAGAATGTCACTTGGTATGTCATCCGAAGTGCTCGTCGCTACTGCCGCATACATGCGGATTGCCATCTCTGCTGATGGACCACTTTAGTGAGGCCCTCAAACACACGGCATCACCTGCAGTTTGTGGAAATATCTCCACCAATGACACTATGGTACAGCTGGAAGCCTGGATGAAAGTACCCAAGTAAGTCTGCTAAAGATTATTATAAAATCTTTTTATAATTTGCGAAAGCTGTGATGCTTTTTCACTTTTCATCAGAATAACTAGTATTCAAAAATGTTGAAACAGAACACACCTGAGCTTTCTATTGAGTAGGACAGATAGTGAAATGAATCAAACGGTCTGTCATTGTATTGTCTATATTTCTTGTCAGACCTGGTAAACAAGGATGGGATAAGAAATGGGTGACTTTAGAGGGAACTAAAGTCTGCATCTACGATAAAGAATCATCTCTTGGTAAGTTGTCACCTTGGAAACTAAACCGTGTGAAACATACCTGGCTGTTATTAAAGAGGTTCCATATGTGACATGTTCACATCTGATAATTGAGTTCCCTGTACTTGATCTACTCGATTTTTTGAGATTGATTATTTTTGTACTTAAGAAAAATATTTGTTCGTCAGATTGTATGAATTGCAGGAAATAACTAAAGATTCACCCAGACTGCAAAATTGAATCTACATGAATCATGTGCATCTAAAACACTATTCAAAAAAAAATCATGTTTATTTAATGCAATTCGTGAAAATTTAAATCTTCTTGCACATTGCACTCTGAGATCATTCGGGTGTTGTGACAAATTAATTATTTTCACTGGCATTTATTTAATTTCACTATTTTGATGTTATGAGCCACTTCACTGGGTTTTAACCTGGCAAAAAAAATAATGAGTTCTATTGTTATTTGACTTGTTCGCATAGATTTAATTTAGAGGCTTTTACTAAGCAAATTAAAAACCAGTGAATAATTATTGCATTTACAGTATGTGCAAAATTTTGATGGTCTGATAAATTTGCATGACTAATGAATCACAATGATTGGAGCGTTTAAATTTCTGTCATTTCATATTTCTATTTGATAAGAACGTTTGAATTTTGTTGATCATTTCATCTTTCTGTTTGAGTGTTGAATTGTTTAGGCTTTTGAATATTGTAATGATGTACTTGATTCATAAAACTCGCCTCTCTTCTAAATCACTGCAAGCTGATAATAGGAATGTTGGGGAATTATGTGTGTTGTAATAAAATAATATGCGTGCACATGCTTTTTGGACATTGATTTCTCATATTTTATCATATATTGTTGGTGCTTTTTTATCCAACTATTTTTTTATTTAGTTGCCTGGAAAGCTGTGATGTTATACATATCTTCACTTTGAACTGAATCTTACATTGCTGAAGCATAATAATCTGAGCTTTCCTCATGAAAACACAAGTCGTTACGTTGTAGGTGAAATGGGTCCCATGGAAATTAATACAACGCATATAAATAACTTCTCAGTTTCTGCAAAATTAGGACTCATTACTGTGGCACTTCATCAAAAAGAAAAAGTGTAAGTTCTTGAGTAAAAATTGTTATTCTGTCTCTATAGTAACCATCGATGAGTTTGACCTTTGCCCTTCCGAGGGTAAAGTCACAGTACATGCAGCCGTCACACCAGCGGAGCTGTTCAACACTGCTAGTACAGATTTACCGTACATTATGCGATTAGAGCTCCATCCCAAAACAACGTGTTGGCCCGGTAGGAATATGTATTTTATGGCGCCTAGTTTCTCTGATAAACAGAAGTGGATGGTCCATCTTGAGAGTATGGTGACAAGCGGAAATGAAAACCT